CGGAAGGGGGTTCCCCCAGGCTGCTGTCATGAGTGGGTGTGAGACCGACGTCCCTCCTCCTGTGGCGCAGGGCTCGTGTCGTTGCTACGGGGTCCCCACCGGTCCTGTGTGAGCGGGGAGGGGACAGCTTCCGGGGGGGCGGCTGTCGACCACGCCCACCGGCACGTTGCCGAGACCTTGTTTTAGCTTCATTCAGTCACAGGGAGCTCATGCAGCCCCGGTGCCGGCAGCAGGCTCTGGGCTCAGACTCGGGGCTCAGACTCGGGGGCCTGGGGCGCCTCGGCCGGACTTCCTTGACACCCTCTGTCAAAGGCACCGTCAAGGAAATAACCCGTCCTGTCTCTCCGGGGTGTGAACACTTGTCGATTCTAGTGTTCCTCCTTAAGAATAAAGAACCCCCCAAATGCCATGCTAACCGACATGGCTTTTGGTAGAAAAACAACACAGGATCTGCTGTGTCGGATAATCATGGGAACTCTGTGTTTTTACAACGATCGTCCCCCTAGAAAGATCGAGGAGAGGGACGGAGCGGCGCAGGCGCCGGAGCTGCAGGGGGTGGTGGGGGGGCTGGTGGGACAGGTGCAGGAGAGACCCGGGGCGCCCTGGAAGGACACCCCGCCGACCGCCTGCTGCCGCCTCGTCTCCTTGGCTCTGCGCTGGGCGGGCCGGAGGACGCTGAGCAGGTCTCCTGGCACCTGGGGCCTCAGTTTCCCCATTTGTAGGATGAGGCTTGGGCCCCATCTCAGAAGGGGGGAGGTGCCAGCACGCAGTAGCTTTTGGTAGGCGCCTTTGGTCGCTTTTATCTCTCAAACCCCAAGTTCCGGCCCTCCCACTCCTTCACGAGTGTCCAGCAGCGACCCAGGAAGCACGGGGCCTCCCTCAAGGAGGAGGACGGGCCGCGCCAGCAACGAGGCTCTCTGAGCACTGACCTCTCTGTCCTGTCGTCACTCCAGGTCCAGTGTCACAGCTACACGGGATACTGCTGGTGCGTCACATCCAACGGGAGGCCCATCAGCGGCACCGCCGTGGCCCACAAGACCCCCAGGTGCCCCGGTAGGTCTGGGCAGTCCGTGGCTGACCCTCCCCTGACGCCGGCTGGCAGCGGCTCCCACCGTCTGACCGGTGCGGGCTCACGGTCAGCGGCGGGGGCCTGCATCTCTGCACAAACCCTACAGTGTTTCGAAGCTCTCGTGTTTAACACGGCTTACCAGGGGGCCCGGGTCTGAACCGCAGCCGGTCATGGTGATTCAGGACTCTTAATTTTTAGAAGTGACCGTGAGGACTGCAGTCAGCAGGGGAAGGGACCCAGTATTTTCTTTGGCACAAAAGAAGCAAACGTTTCTGGTTTTGCATGTATATGTTTGCGAAGAGAAAGTGGCTGGTTCTTCTTAGCGCCTTGTCCAGATGCTTAATTTGTGTTATTTTTATTACTCATAAGGAGGCTCGATGTGTTGAAGGTAATAATATTGACAGGAGAATAATCTATAAAATAGTCTGTTTTCCATTAATATTTTACCAAAAGCATTATAAATAATTCAGGTGGTTTTTATTTGAAGCTGGGCTGCAGCTGGAGTTTTGATTGATTGCTTGAGGAGGCCATCAGATCACCTGCTGGGACGTTTCGTGGTGTCCGCAGCAGAATCCTAGAGTAGACTTATAGAAACAGGCAAAGCGGGTCGTCGTGTGACGATAATAAAGCACAGAACCTGTTCCTGATTTTCCATGTATGATGTTGAAAAATTTGCACTTAGAGTTCATTTTAGGCTTATTTTCTATTTAAAGGCAGGCATGTTCTGCTTAGGTTCTGCTTATGATTCACACATTTATACAGGAGCCAGGGCACAGGACAGGACTCATAACCACCCCAGAGTGGTGACATCTGTAATTAACAGTGACGTGAAACCTGATATTTCCAGTGTCTGCTCATCGCTTAAAAGCCATGGGGGTGTGCATAATGCAGAATTAAAATATATTTATTTTTAAAAACTATTTTGTCATCCAAGGCCTAAAAATGGCTGAAAAAATATTTTTGGTGAGCCAACATTGCACCTAATAATTCTTTCACAAACTCACGGAGTAAATGAAAACAGGAAAACAGCATCGAGTTGGCGTCTGTGTGTGTCCGTCAGTCTGGGAGACGCTTTCTCATGCTGACCGCACTTGGTCCCCGTCCGGGCCTCCGAGGCCAGCCTCGCTGTGCAAAGGCCAAAGCGGGTGGAATCCGTTTCTGTGATTTTAGTGATACCGTGTGAAAAATTAATTAAATAGTGTCCCAAAGAACTCTGTTAGAAAGCCATGTGCAAAAGTGGCTGAATTTCTTACATTCTCCAAATAATTCTTTGCTTTGGGGGGGTCAAGCCGCTGTACCGTTCACTCGCGTTATTTTTCCGGCCAGGTGTTGGCAACACTTCACCGGATAGAAATGCCCATTTTTTCCACTGCCCGTCTGGGTTTTTTGGTCCAAGTGATGGGTTATGGGAGCAAGAGCCTTCTGTCCCTTTACTTAAAAGTCCGGTGTCGGTTGCCTGAGAAATGCCGCTGAGAGAGTCAAGGGTGTTGGATTAAACGTCTCGGTGTGGACGGGGCAGGGGCTCGCTAAGGCCCTGCTCCCCGTGAGCATGCGTGCGTTCACGCTCTCGTGGCATGGTTTCGTGGCTGTGACCTGCGTGCTGACTTGGCCAGGGTCATCTCGAACTAGCTGGTGCTAACCTACCCCATAGCTCCCACTGAGTTTCGAAAAATTCCGTGAACCCCCAGTCGTATGCACGTTTTTATTCTGCAACGTCGTGGGCACGGGGGAGCAGGTGTCTGCATTAGGGGGACCTGCGAACCTTTGTGGCGTTGCCGTGAACTTTTGAGAAAACTTTGACGTTTGAGGGAGAGTTTGGGGAGGGTTAAGTTCACACACAGAAACACACACACGCGTGAAGAGCTTATGATAAACTTTTGCGTAATGTGATAAGTTTTCCCAGAGGCAGCCACGACTTCACAAATACAGCAGAGAAGCAGGGCGATGGGCACCCCTTTGCCTGAGGCTGTGATGGACGGCATGGGTCACAGCTGTCCAGAGTGTCCGGCCGCAGATGGCCAGGGCCTCGGCGTCCAGGCCCGGCCTCCGCCCTCCGCGGGTTCTTAGCCGGGTCTGTTTGTGGCTCGTGCTCAGTGCTCACTCTGGGAGGCCGGGCTGCGTCTCGTCCGCTTAATCGAAGCTGGGTGAACTTCAGTGTCCCGCAGTTTACAGCTGGCTTTGCATATAAGTGCCTGCTATCAGGCAGAAAAAGAGACTTCACATTTAGCCACAAACAGTAACTGTCACTTGGAATGTGCACAGGTGTGTCCGTTACGAATATGTGCGGACACACCGGGGCAGGCAGCCTCGTGCCAGGGAGCAGACACCCGCGGACCGCACGGCCCGGTGGACGGAGGGTGGGCCCTGCCACAGTGCTGCCGCCCCGTGTCCCCGGAAGGCCTTCAGAAGGGAGGGTTTCTGCATTTCATGGGCAGGCACGTTTAAGCCCTAATGCCAAACGCCCAAATTCCTATTCATCAATCAGAATAACGCGATGATGAGTCGTGCTCTGTGCCGGTCTCGGCCTATCCGTCCCCAGTGTGGTGGCCGGACCAGGCCTGTGGTTGACACAACCTCCGGCAGTCACCACCAGGAAGCTAAAAATGTCCAGGTCTCTTACTCACAAGACCTGGAGGTTACACAGCCACCTGGGGCCGCGGCCGGGACCGCGGTTCTGCTTCCGTCAGGTTGAGGGGGGTTTGCCTGGTTCATACAGTGGGAACATAAGCGGCCGAGAAAATGAGCGAGCGGCTGCCCTCAGGGACCGTGGCTGGTGGCTCCAGTATGGCCCTGAGTGAAAGGGTTAAAGCATGGAACTGGGGCGCCCTTTACACTTCAAACCCGGGGACTCGGCCTCGCAGGGCAGGCACCCTCTGTGACACGCCGCGAGGCCGAGGGGCGGAGCCACATACGTGGGATGGCGCTTACCTGCAGGGGGGCCTGTGACTGGAAAGCGGGCTGGTGTGGGGACCTGGTCCCGCCTGGGGGACGTCCCAGACCCAGATCCGATGGGCTGTGCTGTGCGTTATGCTTCTGTGCTTTGGGCATGAGCAAGTGGTGTCGCAAGTCCAGACAGCCCAGTGCCAGTGCTGGTCTCCCTTAGGGCACACGTGACTGGACACCCTCCTGAGGGCTGGTGGGGGCGGGGCTAGGTGCCTGGCCGCTGGCGGGGGTGGGGCTTAAGGAGGGGTGCCAGGGCTGTAAGTGGGGGCAGACAAGGCGCAGGTGAGGGCTTGGGAAGACCAGCATCACATTCACACCAGTGGTGCCCGGCGGCTGGGGGCAGCAGGCCTGCCGCCCACACGTCAGTGGGGACGACACTGGCTGCCTGTCATGGGGCAGCCGTGTGGTGGGCATCACAGCAGCCTGGCGGGGGCAGAACGCCTTCTGTTTTGCAGGTGAGAGTTCCGCCCAAGCCTCTGTGCTTCTGGCGGCCGGGACTGGAGCCCAGCTTTGTCTCCACTGCACAGCCCCCCCGACAGCACAGTGGCAGCTCGGCCCTGGGCCTTGCACCCCTCACACCCCAGGAGGGCGTCCCGAGGACAGGAAGCCGCGAGCCACTCCCCGCCCACTGTGGGGTCCTCCAGAGGCCGGACACCCCGTCCGCTTCGTGAGGTCTCATGGAGGCCGCTCCCTCTGGCTGGACGGGAAGTGATGAATAAGTAGCACAGGTTTCCACGGCCAGCGAGCGCTCCGCCCTGTCACCCGCCAGCCAGCCCTGTGAGTCGGGACTCAGAAGGAGCTCGCACTGCAGGTGCAGGGAGCGTCAGGGAGGGGAGCTTGCTCCCAAGTCCGCCTGGAAGGCGAGCAGGGGTGGCCCAGCTCTGGGGCATCCTCCTGGGCGGAGAGGGGCGTGTCCATGGCAACCAGCCACTGCCTTGACAGGCGTGGGGTCCAGAGGGCTGAGCCCTGTCCCCACGTGCCCCAGGCGGGTGGTCTCCATGTGGACGCTGAGTCGCTGGGCCTCAGAGATGCCGGACGCAGCAGAGACGCCCAAGGGGCAAAGGAGGCTCCCGGGCGCCCCCTCGAGGGTCCTGTCCTCCGTTCCGGGGAGGGCGGGGCCCACGCGCCCCTCTGCGCGCCCGGACGGACATTCTCCCTGCAGGGATTGTCTCCTCTCCTCCTTGTCTTAAAGACTCGAAGGCTGACAGCGTGGGGGCCCGGAGTCGAGCTGAAACACGGGGGACTTTTTGCCAAGGGAGAGTTTTTGTGGCGGCCGGTTCTCTAATATTTAGAAATAGCTTCGGAGTTTTAATCTTGTCCCTGGCACGAGTACAATGTCGCTCGAGACACATAAGCTGAACCTACGTGCAAGAATCTTTAATACTGCAACAGCCAAAGCATCGCCCTATGAGCTCCGTTTGAGGGTGCGTGTGAGTGAGCTCCGGGCCTCAGTCACCGAGCGCGGTGGGGAGCATCCCGCAGGCTCGGGACCACAGCCCTTGGGGCTTTGAAACCAAAGTCGGGCGCAGGGAGAGGTTGGGGGAAGGGCAGGGAGCCCACTCACCTGACAGCTGGGCCCAGTGGCCGGAGCCATCGGTCACGGCAACTTTTATCACATCAAACACGACCTACGCCTTGATGTCAGTTACTGAGGCTCTGCATTTCCCGTGACAGGAATGAGCGAGCTCGTGGTCACATCCAGGGGCTCACTCGCTCCTGCGCATTCATTGCTACATTTGTGTTCTGGGACGGCCCGCTTGTAAATGACAGAGGAATCTGGATTAGCTCCAAGAACCTTTCAATAGGTTATTTATGCTCATTTAACTATGAGCCTTGCGTTTTCCTACAATGCCTGGTGTTTTCGCCTGCATCTGGGATGGGGAGATGCCACGTATTTATGACTCTCCTAAATGATTTCCGAGAATTTTAACTTTATGAAGAGAAGCTGTTTCATTTTTTAATTTTTCACAAATAAATTTCCCTACTGCTAAGTTAAGGACCCTGAAAAACTGAGAGACTTGATGAAAACACCCAGAACAGT